GTTATTTCGACTATTTGGTCTATTGTAGTGATTTTGTGATGAATTGTTCGTGTTTCTTCGTTCTGGTGATCTTCCTCTATAACTTGAGTTATATGGTGATTGATTTCTTGTATAATTTGTGTTGTTCGGGAGTGGTTTTCCTGAACTGTTGTTGCTGTGGACTGTTTTGTTCGGTAGATTTTGATCTTTTTTCATGTATTGATAGAATGATTTATTTGGTTCTTTATATTTTTGAGGTTTATTTTGATTATCTTGCTGTTTTTGTCTACATTCGGAAATACTATGTCCGTATCGTCGGCAATAATTACACCATTTTTTGAAAGATGGTTTGCCTTTAAAGTTCGGGTTCTTTTCGTAAATATTGAGTATTTCAGTGATTTTTTCAACGAGGTCTGTTTCTGATTCCTGTATATTATTAATATTAGTGGGAGTCGTTTCAATTCTGTTAACGTATTGTAATTTCAGATTTTCCGTTTCTTCTAGTTTCATCGTGATTTCTGCTTGTTCTAATTTGTCTACTAGTTTTCGAAAATCTAAATCGGGTTCTCGAATTGAAGAAGGATGAGATGCTCTCTTTTTTATTGCTATTTTCCTTAATTGTGGTGTTAAGGTCATCATTAAGATTTCTGTCATCTTTGTGTTTTTATAGTCATGTGTATTTAATGAATATGCTTTTCGAACTAGTGTTTCGATTCGTACTGCTATTTGCTTGATGGTTTCGTTTGGTAATCTGCGAATTTCATTACATAAAACTCTTTGTTGTTGTTTGTTTCTTTCGGAGTCAAACATTTTTGAAAATTCTTGTGTAAATCTTTTCCAGTTTGATTTTATTTCTAGAGGTAGTACTGAAAACCATTTTTGGGCTGCGCCATCTAAGGTTGTTTGTATTAATGCTGTGCGTCGATGTATCCAGTTTTGATGTAGTGGCGTATTAATTGGTTCAGGTCCTATATTTAAAATCAAATTTGCTGTTACTGCATTTAAATAATCTTCTACAGAGTATTCAGGGTCTGTTCCTGTGAAAACCATTAAGGGTTTGTTTGATGTTATTGATGATCCACCCATAAGGTATGGATTCATTGTCATTTGTAATGATTCTGCTGCATTTGGCATTTGAGAAAAATTTGAAAGTTGGTTTCTTGTTATTTCATGTTGTTGGAGATAATATGGGAGTGGTATTTCATTTTGCATTTGTGATGGTTGATACGAGTGTGCAGTCATTGGATTTTGTTGTTGAATTGGTTGAAAAGATTGTGTATTAATTGGATTTTGTTGTTGAATTGGTTGTTGATGTTGTGCATCTATTGTTTGTGGAGAAAAATTTCTATGGTTTGTACATGTTTTCTGTATTCCTTGTCTACGATATTCTTGAGTATTTTGTGCAAATATATCTGGTTGTAAGAAATCATCATCTGAGGATAAATAATCCATATGATAAGATGTTTGTTTTTTATTTTTATTTTGTTGAAAAAATGGGTAATTTTCACTGCGATCCTGTGGAGGATTTGGTTGAAAATTTTTTGAATTATATTGGGCCGTTGGGTTATCCCAGTTTCGACGTTTTGTATATTGATTAAAATTCCTTTGTGGTTGATAATTTGTTTTTGATGTATGTGTATAATTATAATTATGGTCTGCAAAGTTGTTTCTAGTGAATGTTTTGCGTGTTTTTGATGGTATTGTCATGGGTCTGTATGTTTGGTAATCCATATGTGAATATTTAGGGGCAACCGAAGGTTTAACGGTTGATTGTAAGGTTACCTGTGTTTGTGAAGGATTTGTATTTCTTGGTGTTGTTAAATTTGGGCGTATTGGTGAAATACTTTGTTGTGTAGTTGTTGTGTGTACAATTTCTTCATTTATGAAGTGTGATGGTGTCTGGATATCTTGTTGAGTAAGATTCCTAGTTCCATTGAGGTTTTCGTTGTGTATGACTGTAGAGTTTAAACTATTATTTTGTGTATCGGGTAAAAATGTATTATAGTTTAATGGTGTTGCATCAATTGTTAATGGTATTACTCTTACATAATCTCTTATGTAAGATATTGTACCTATTGCTTGACTTGAGATTGATTGTGGAAAGCTTATAAATGCGGGATGAGACCATTCGGGGTCCCAAACATAATCTGATTGTTCTGTGATAGCGGTATCATCGTTCGAATTTTGGGGTCTAAAATTTTTTCTTGCTTGTGCAATTAAATCAATATTGTGTGTGAAATAATCTATTATGAACCATGCCAAAATTTTTTGTAATCGTGTTTGGTATGTTGTGAAACGTCGTCTTTCGTGAAATTTTCTTTAATGATGTTTAAATAACTAGAGAGTAGTGTGATTTCATGTCGTACTCTTAAATGTTTAGATGTTTCTGTCGGTGAGACATTTGTTAATGGGATTTCGTTTTCTAATATCGAAATATAACTATATATTATTGCGAAAACTTCATTGGTGAAAATGGAGTTTGCTCTTTGTGAGTTATGGTATTGGATGCTTTTTATATATTCTGAAAAAACTTTTGAAAATTCTAAATCAAGATCGTCTGTTTGAATAGTATATGTTCTATTATTATGGTTTGGGGAAGTGAATTCTATAGAGTAGATTCCATACTGTTGTGTTATGTTGCATATATCTTTTAGATAGTGATCTATGATTTGTCTTTTGATTTTTACATCGGGGAACTCTGTTTTACATGGACTGATTCCGGGTTCAAATAAATTTACGAGTAAATTTTGACAAAATATGTGTTGTCCTCTATCAGTATCTGCATCTACTATAAAAGGAAAGATTTCATCATCATCTGGGGTTTCGTCACCTGGGGTGTGCGTTGAGCTCATTTTTTCGTTCGATGACTGTTAATATGTAATTATTAATGTGTCGAATTGGTTGATTCCAATTGTACAAATGTACTGGTTTGTGTTTATACTGCTTTTTTATTCTTCTTTTTCCTCTTTTTGATGAATTTGAAGTTGTTTCTGAGTCAGAAAAATATAGTTGATCGTGAAGTGGGCAATTTTTATCTATTGATTCTTTTAGTTTGTAAAGTTCGTCTAAACTGTTGGTTTCTGATTCTGAAAATGCGTTTCGATTTTTTGAAAATCTTTTTCGTGTTATTTGTCTTTGTTTAGTTATTGTTTTCCTCTTTAGTGTTTGTCGTTTTGTGCGAATGTATCCAACTGTTTGTGTATGAGGTGTGATTACAAGGTCGTATTTTTTGTTATTTATTTCACAATTGTGTAAAACGATTGTTTGTTTATTTCCTAGGTTTTTAAATGACATAAGGTTTAGAATGACGGATGCAAAGGTTGTTAAATGATTTCTATTTTCCTAAACTGTTAGTTCTTACGATTTTTTGGTTAGCTTAACCTGGGTCTATTTGTTCAGGGTTGGAGAGAAAGGTATATCGATTCCGAAGAATGATTCTTTACTTTCTCGTGACTAGTATAAGCTAAGGTGTTAACTTACTTAATCTTACTTAGGGGTAGTGATTGTGTTCAAGGGTTGGAGAATAGTAAATCGATCCACAAGGTTCAGGTATAATTAGAACGCGAGTAGTTCGTTAGATACTATTTTAAACTTACTAAGTCTAAGATTTATCCTGGGTCTGGTAAGAGGGGGGGTCAAGTGAAGGATGAATAACCGAAGTTCTTCACTATTTATCCTAATTTGAATGATTAGTTTTGTTTAAAAAATTCTATTAGTCTTGGGTCTTTAGAAAGGGTTGGGTAGTGAATCGACGTTTGAGGTCGTTAGACACTAATTAAGTGGGTGGGGGAGAACCAAGTTGTTCTGTTTGATCCAAGGATAAGCCTTGATGATCAAATTTAAAATTCAATTAAATAGAAAATGATTTAAGATCCAAGGATAAGCCTTGATGATCTGGTTTTAAAATTAAGTGAATTTAAGTTTTAATAAAATTTTAAATGTGTGTAAAGGAAAGATTTAGTGTTTTGATGATGTTAGTGGGTTTATGATTGCTGTTATGTTTTAGATGATGAAGCTGGAACAACAGGATGATTTATGATTACTAGCCAATTATTGTCATGCTACTAATTTTTATTTTTATTTTCCAATAAATATTTTTCAAACATGTTTTGTATAATACTGCAGAGTTTTAGGAAAACGATCTAAGATCTTTTTATCAATCGTTATTGTATAATATTAATTTTGTTTAGCGCCTGAAATGATTTTGAAGAGTAACTTCAAGGTTTTATGTTTGCAAATGGAAATCTAAATTCATTGCAAGTAGTATTCGAAATATAAAAGTTTGTTCTGGCTTTTGCCGAACTATCATATAACTATACGGCAAGTTTCTACTTTGTCGTATGTCGTCTTTGGTTCGAGGTCTTCTTCCAATTCCGGGTAGTTCTGTTATGGTTCGGAATATTGGCTCTGATCTATTGAGTCGGAGAGACATTTCAATTAAATTATTGTCGTATAACATTTTGTAAATGTTTTTGTCTAATTTCTAATCTATTTTTGGTTAATTCTAATCTAGTAAGGTCTTGTTCGAGACTTATGGTCGCACCAGATGAGTTAGGACTGGAGTGTATAACTCATAGAGTAATTTCGGATAGGGTACACCGTCTGCTCGTCACGCTATCTTATTTTCGGCCGGATAGATTCGTGCAACTTCTTAGTCTAATACCGATCCTAATCTTACTCTTATACTATCTAGTCTCAGGTTGTTTAACTAGTCTCTGCTAGGCTCAATAGATCTAGGGTATACTGGTTTATTGCGGTTGCTGAAGTGCTCGGGAGAGTCCAACTAATTTCTAAGTTAAATTCAAATCTCTCTGGTGCTGAAGTTACAAGTAACTTCAGCACTTTACAAATAAGTGGGTTGTTAGTTAGATGGATCATGATTGGTTAATATTAAATACTTTACATTGGTAAAACATTTAATTTATCCAATCATAAAATATAGTTTAGATCAGGTTCCAAAATGCTTTGAAAACTTTTGGTTTCTGTTATTTTCACAGGTCAATTTGGCAATGAATTTGCAGGTCCCCTTCAAATGACTGCAGTTGAGAATATGCTTAAGGAGAAAGAGCAGGAGGTGAAAGAACTCAAACTGAAGTACGTCAATCTGCTCAACGTCAACAATGTCCAAGGTCAGCATTTTCCATTACGACATTTCCTCTATATGACTCCTATTTCTATACGTGGACTTATATCTCTAATTCGGTGGTCGTAATCCGGACTAAAGTTCTTTGAAATTATATCTTTTTCGGGTTGAAACTCATGCCACAGCAAGATGTGCAAGGTTAGCTTGGGATTTACTATAAAATCATTGGGGCTAGGAATTTTTTTTGCGTGGCAACTCAAAAAATCAAAATTGTTCTAAATTGAAAACGCCAAAGATTCAGGTTCAAAACTAAATCAACTTAAATTGACAACTATTTAAATTTGCAGATATATCTTTTGATATTTACTTCAGACCATTGGTTTTTAAACCTTAAAAACACATCAAGGTTATAACGGATAAAAACTGCTCTCTTAGGCGAGTTCCTCCACTCTTCGGCTCTCCATCATGCGGGCGAGGCCATTATTGATGTATGCGAGAAGAGAAGCGTAGATTACGTCATCATGGGCAACAGAGGCATGGGTGCGATAAGGAGGACCTTTCTGGGCAGTACCAGCGACTACGTCTTGCATCATGCTCATATTCCGGTCACTATTGTTCCACCTACATTGAAAAAAGGCAAATCCGAATAGAACTGCAAAAAATCTTAAAGAAGCACCAAATGGGCAAACTAGCTGAAAACGGTTGATGAAACACGAACTGATAAATGGTCAACTCAGCTAATGAGAATTGAATCGTAAAAACATAATTGCAATAGTGAAATCTTAACTTGGAAAAAATTTTACTAAAAAAAGGTTAAATTTGCTGAAACCACGACTAAATGCAGGCCGCTCAAAAGAAAATCATTGCATACTACAATAACAAACCATTAGAAAAGCCTTGGAATAATGAACATGAATAACGATATTTGTTAACAAGGCAAGCCATTTATTTGTTCGCCTTTAAATAATTTCACTATTTTCGTAATACTTTTGTTAGTAATGGTTAATTTTTTCCAGCCCATTGCCTCCGACAGTTCAAACAAAAAAATTCAATGCCTACCAGGAAAGTACATGAGTTTATTTTGAACGTAACATTTTTATCCGCCTACACGAGAAGCAAAAACTGATTATAATGTTTTAAGGTTGAAGATTCACTTAAAATAGGCGAAAATTGTTTTTGCCAAAAGTCAAGAATATTACGACTGCCTGTTTCAATGAAGTTAGGATACAAAATGATTGAAGTTTATTTTAACCCCTAAGAATATAATAATAAAGCAATACAAACAATGATTCGGCTTAACCTTTGTTTTCTCGAAGCTCGAGAACTTCTGGCTGTTTCTTGCGGCTTGTGATTGCATTTTGCCTCTGTTTCTACTAGTAAGTTTTTTTTGGTGTCCTACAATGTAATGACATACAATTTAACACCGTACTTTTTAACACTTAGTCAATTCACTACTAAAAAATTTAAATCGACAACAATATAACTCCTATTTTCCAGTTTAACACAGTACACTTTAAAACCTAGTCATTTCACTGTTAAAATTAATGCTGAGAGTTCTGAAGAAGTCATCTTTCTGGTTAGCCAATGGAACTGTTAAAATTACTCCAAAAATGTTCTATCAGCTGTAATCAAAGCATGTTAGTGTATCTGGCATTGCGCCAGCTTGCATTTACGCTTTCCTTCCTAACAAAACCGAAAAAAAAGTACAATCGATTCTTGCAGGCGTTAGTTGATTTAGCACCTAACTGCCGGCCTGAAAAAATTTTGTTAGATTTGAGCAAGCTGCTCTTCAGTTCTTCCAAAAAACATTCCCCGAAGCACATTTATCGGGTTGTTTTTTTCCACATCTCCCAAAGTTACATGAAAAACTTATTGAATTGGGTCTCAAAGTGACCTACAAAACGAATCACGATTTAGCGCTGGCTTTTAAAATGCTGCCATCCCTTGCATTCGAAAAATAAAGAAAAGATCGGCAATTCCTTTGACATTATCGTTCAGGAAATACAGAATGTATGCGACAGAAATTGTTTAGAACCCGAGAAAATTGAGAAAATTGACGATATTCGTCTGTACTTTGACTCTACTTATATAAAAAGCTCGGTGCCAAACCGTGAAAATTTATTCCCACCATCCCTTTGGAACCAGCGAGATGCGGCCGTGAGTTGGATTGCTCCAACAACAAATGCTGTCGAGGGATGGCATTTCGGGATTCAATCCTTTGTCAGCGGAGCTCACCCAAATATGTGGAAAGTAGTGGGCAGCCTGCAAAAAGACGCTTGGTTAATATTTTAAAACCTTTTTTTAAATATTTTTGGTTAAACTTTTTTTAATATTCTATAGCGGCTGAAATTGTCTAGCAAATTAGTTCATATTAGTCAAAGGACGTCTAATTATTTGCGGGCTTTTGAAGTTCATTGAACTATTGCTTGTTTTTGGTTCATTTTGGAATGATTCATTGAAAATTTTGGCATGGACATTTCATGTTAGTTTGAAACATTTCATTGAAATCATTTGCAAGGTCATTTCTGTTCAAAACTTACGCAAATTAAGTAGCGCGAATTTGTCTGGCTTTAAATGGCAAAAATTTCTCTCGTCTAATTCTTTGATGGCTACCGAAATCCCCTTTGAAGTAAGTTTTATTTTCATTTTGGATTAAAACGTTGTTAATTCATAGAAATTTTTCTAAAATGTAACGATGTTGAAATGCTAAGGCAACAAAAAGTAGGGAGTGAAATTGTAGGGTGTTAAGTTGTTTAGAGTTAAAAAAAGGGGTACCTGTTTTTTTTACCTCAGATTTGGTATTAAATCTAAGTTAATAGAGCAAACTAGAGCGTGGGTTAGGAAATAAGACGACAAGCAAAAAAGACGATCCGAAGGAAATGGAACTCAGTTAATAACTTGCGTTCAATTTGCGTAAAAGTTTTTTGCAGACGCAAATGAAGTTATTAATGTCACTATTCTACATTAAATTTTTTTAATTCAAATTTTTTCAATTTATTGTTAAAAATAATGTTACAATAATAATTTTGATCGGTTTTGTGATAATATACTTTTTTTGCTAAGTGTAAATTCATTCTAGACAAAAAATTCCGTTGGCCCATTTCTTAACCATCTAAATTAACAAAGAGTTTTTCACTTAATTAAATGAATTTACGATTGCCTAATTTGCTGGTTTATTTTCCTAGGCCCCAACTAGGACACCTCTGCAGTAATTTATTAAGAGACCTAACTATATTTCCAAATTGTGAGCGAATTTTACCACAAAGATGAAAAAAGCTTTGCCGTAGAATCTGCAACAAATTATTAAGTTTATTTGGAAATAGATTGATGCTTTTTTGGAAGTTTATCTTTGGCTTACAGTTTCTGATTGGTAATTAAATTTTTTCCATGTGCTAGATTTGAATGAGTTGACAAGCATGAGATATCTCACAAAAGAAAGAAATTTCATCTTCCTTCTAGTCCAATGATTTAGTTTTACTAGGCTGAGTTTCTTCAAAACAGCTGAACAAAAAATGAAAAATGTGGGTGCTGCAAAAACAGGAAAACATTATCCAAAGATTATGAAACAGTAGAAACACTAAAAACATAATTAAAAAATTTTAAAACCATGTTCAAACAAGCCAAAATAAAAGCTGAACTATTTGAATTTGATTTTTTTCCACCCTTTTTATAAGCTCAAATACAAACATTTTAATCGACGGACGACTTAATAAGGGCTGGATTTCAAGCTAATTATTGACGTTTTAATCCGTATTTTTTGCCGATTTTCTTTTATTAACTAAAAAAATTGATTGAACACTGAATTTTTTTATTGCCACAGGTAGTTCAAAATTGAGCTTGTTATTTAGGATATTTGGTTAATAGTTAAAAACTAGTAAGCTAATAGCAGTAAGCTTTAAGCACAAATGCTACGTTTTTTTGCTGTCCTTTTTTCAATTTTTCATTTTGAAGAGTATCGACAAAAAATATTCAATTATACATTTGATTTTGCCTTTGTTTCTTGTGCGTGGTGAGACGGAAAACTATACAACGCGTATGAACTTAGTAAATTAGGCATAATCGACAACAGTTGTCTTTAAAAATAAATAAACAAAATTTTAATAACGTTTTAAAAAATTCTAATTTTTCTACTTTTGCGCACAATTTAGTTTATAGAATTTTTTTTTGCCACGGAAGCGCTAAATGAAACTTTCAAAACTAGTTTGTCTGATAAAATTCATTTTTTCAGCCTGAATGACCGATTTCTAAATGAACGATTTCCAAACATTACTTGCTAGATCGTTCTACTCGTTGTAAAACTTCAAAAATTCAAACCAAAATTTCTCGACACTGGGCCAACATTCGAATTTTTTTTAGTTACGCTCGAATAATTGAAAATGCTTTATTTCGATATATCCCTGGACTCATTCCGCTGAAGTTTTGTGTTACCTGATTTTGCGTGATGAAGAAAAATCTTAATCGCGCAGATACAAGGTTCCTCCCCATTTTAAATGATCAAAACAATCAATTTTTCCAAAAACTTTCTGAATTTGATAAACATTTTTTCGATGAAACACTTCGAAAATAGACAAAAGTTTTTGTATTTTACAGAAAACTATAAAACCATACAAATCGGATTTTTTTGCGCTGCCAACTATTGCCTTAAAGAAATCATAAAACGATTAATGCAGATTTCATTAGCTTAAAACGAATGAGAGTTATTGTCGCCACGACGTTCGAAGTCTTGTACTAGCTTTCTTGACCCTTTTCATTATATAGGAAAATGATTGATCAATTTCCACTGTGCGTGAAATTGAAAACTGTCAAACTTCGCTCCAAATCCAACATGAAATTTTGCTCCATAGTTCTAAGAAAGTATAGAAGTATCTATGCCCCGGGTACTTTTTTCTATTCAATTTCAAATTTTATCTTTACATTATTTGACGGATTTTTTTATTTTATCTGAAAGTTGTTGATGCTCTGAGCTCAATTATGAAAAATATTTTCCGGGTGAAATTTTTTCTGAAAGTTATGATGATCAGTCTCGTGATGATCAGTCTCGCCCTGATGATCAGTCTCGTTCCAATTTCTTCTTTTTTGTTTATCATATTAGTCTCAATTTTATATCCAAACTATTTTGTTTATGTCGCAATCAATGCCAAGAATTTTTTCTGAAGTATTTTTTTGATTTTTTATAATTTCTCAAAACAGATATAACCCAGTGTCAGAAACGGACTTGGTTTTTCGCCCTTCTGCTGAACCGAAAGGCGTTGCGCGGCATTTCATGGACCAAGCCGAAATTTTTCGCTCGAGTGAGGAGAGCTCGCTGACTACAATTTTCAAAATTGTCTAAATTTGACGTTTTTGCATGTTCTCTTAAAAAATACGTGCAGCGCAGCATTTGACACTTTTTTTCTTTGGAATTATTTTATGACAACAATTTTGGCATACCGATCCTAATTTTTTCTCTCCCCCAATATCGAGGCATATCGACCCTATGACTATCTTCTCTGTCTGCTAAAATCATGGTCCTGCTAGCAAAATAGAGAAAAAAACATTGGTGATATTTTCTACTTAAATCTACAATTACGAAACAACTTAAGCTGAGAGCAACAAAAATAAAAGCACACTGTGTTTTTGCTTCAAGATGTTCAGGGAGAATTTACTTTCTGATTTTGATGAGGAGGAAACTTTGTAGTAGAATACTTGTGAAGATGAGACAAGCGCCGATCGTTGAGAATAGAGAAAGCGTCTCTGAGAGGAAAATGATTTGCAAAATATATCCCAGAATAATTGTCAGCAGTTTCAGCAGCGTGGCTATCGAAGGCAAAGACAGTTGGGATCCCTGCACACTGGCCATTCCTCCAAAGACATACATGAAACATCCACAGAGCGCAAAGAGGCGAAGATTAGAGGCACAAATTGATAACTGCATATGATTTTTAATCATGTCGTAACTGCAATAAAGCACAGGCCCCACAAAGTAGCTCAACTGTGTGATGGATCCAGGCACGTTTTTGAACTTCTGTAACCCGCAGTAGTATATTGTGCCTGAAACTCCAGATAAGACACCAAAGCCCACTCCTGTAGTGTACTTGAGGTCAAACTGAAACTCAAAATCAATATTAGATTACGTCTATCTTTTCAAATTCAAAACATAGCAAACAGATAGTTGAAAAAAATCAATGAACTCAAAGAAACAAAAAAAACAAAAAGAAAAAATTTTAAGAAAAACTTTCAACGTTCAAGTTTGAAAGGAATACAGCATACCAAAACCACTATAAAAGATTTTTAATCTAACAAAAATTTATTGATAGATATTTGTTCCGTAACAATAAAACTAACCCAATTTGACACTGAGAAAGCTGGACCAAAATGTAAATTTTTATTCCTCTGAGAAATCTACTCATAGACAATTGGAAGCATTTTAATGAAGCATTCAAACAGAAACGATGATTTCGGGTTCCGGATATCAGGCCGACGGAACTTCAAGTCTAATCGTAAAAGTACGTTTAGTTTAAAAACGAAAAAAACTCCTTTAAATCAGTTTTTGATAAAATCATAGAGTGTGGCTCTGATCATTTTCTCTTCGTCAATGCAAATCTTTATAAATATTTTCGTTTTTTTTTCTATGTAAAAATTTCGTTTAAACTCGAAGTGAATCAGATCAAAAATCATCCTTTTCCAGACATTTCAAACAGTAAAAACCTGAATGTGTAAATAATTTTGTCCACTAGTGTATCAGAAAAGAAAATTATGAGAAGAATGTCTGTTTACAAACAAAACCGAGCCAACCGCACAATTAAGGCTGGGAGAAGCTTCAATTTTGTGACTAGTAGGCTTTATTGTGCCAAACTATTGCCCTTTACGGAAAACTTTCGAGGAGATAATGCATGTTCACAATTTATTGCGAAATGCTTCGCCCGTTAGCACAATTGGTGTTTCTTGGAACCCATCGATTAATTTAGTACCTGAAGTTGCAACAGACTCTCCGGTTGGCAGATGAGCACTAAGCCGATGAGACCGAGAAGTCCTGAAATCAATGTCAAAACATGTGGCATCTCTTTGAGCACTATACTCTCCAAAATAATGTTGCAAACGAAATGAATCGCAAGAGAAACTGTAAAAGCGTCGCCCATTGTTATGTAATTCAAGGAGTAAAAGTAAAAATGTGTGTATGCACCGCAAAACACGGCGCCCAATAACAGTGTGCAAATTACATCTTTGGCACCGAACGACTTGATGGATCTCAAACTTTCTGATTTTAATTTTTCACTTGGAAATTTCGCATCCGGTTCGGTCGATTTGGCTGACTTCATGATAAAAACGAGACTAGTAAGAATGCCGCAAATTCCAACAATGAAGGAAATTTCACTTCCTTCGCTTTTGCTGAGTTTGATGAACAAAATACCTGATGAAATGAAACTGCTCGACATTAAATTGGCGAAGATAGCATAGTAACTGCGTTTTTGGGCTTTACTTGCGTTGGCTAGAAGTGAAGGGTAACATTTCAGGAAGTGAGGCAGCATTTTTGAAACGAACCCACTTTTATTCAAACAGTACCACAAAATAAAAATTGTAAGCGGTATTTGAACATAAACCAGTGCACTGAATAATGTTATAACAATCAGCGGTCGATTCTGATTTGTGACTTGAGAAGATATGAATTAAAAATTGACGAAGTGATTTCCTCACAATGAATTAATAATGAAATGCGCTTCAAAAATAGGATGGTATCGATAAGCGAAGAATATCTGGTACGCTAGGGCCTTAACCAACTCAAGATGGCTGCAATTCAATTTGAAACGAAATGCAATGATTTTCAGACTGGCTGGACAATTTTCATCAAATTACCAAATTGAAGGAAATCAACGTCAGCTATTCTTTAAAATAAAAACTGATAAATGCTATTTTTTTCTTCCAAGCTCAGATGAGGTTATGGTCCCACCATAAAACTCAAAACTATAGCAAGCAAGCGAAATCCTATCAACCAACTAAATTACAAAATTAGTGAGGTGTGTGGGAAATATAACAGCAAATGATTTTAAAGCTCATGAAGTTTGCGTGTTTAGACAAGAAATTAGGGTTGAAGTTCGCGTCGAAGCAAATCAAAGATCACAAAAATGCGAGTCATCGTAAGGTCCAATTTGTCAGCAGGTTCAAACTTTCAATTTAACGAATGACTTCTATTTAAATGTCTGTTATCAGGTCAAAGTCAAATTATTTAAATAAGCCCTGTAATACAAAAAGTAAAGAGCTAGATTTATAATGCTAAGCTCATCAAAACTCCAAAGGTCGAGATATTCGGTGGTCACTCAAACACCTAAAATGAATACGAAAGGTTAAAGTTGAATTGAATTAATAAAAAGGTTTCTTTAAACTTTTCAATTATTAACATGAAAACCAAAAAGTTGGAACGTTGGTATGTAAACAGTTACGCGTAATTGATATTTTAAAAATTATAAGACAAACAAAAAATAATCTGCCAGTTGGTAACTGAAAAATACTGATGACAAAAACATACCATGTTGTTCACGTTTACTCGCGGCGATTTGTTCACATTCACTGTAAAATGAATGATGTAATTTTTCACATGCGGTCGGGTGACAAATTCAGTAATAGAAGTCTCTTCATTTTAACTAGCGATCTATGAATTTTGTCTTTGAAGGTAAATGAAGCCTAAATTTTTATATTTGATTTATCTGAAAAAAAACTCAACTTTGCTGACTTTCAGAATTGTTTGCAGCAAATATCAAGCTGCTATTTCTAAAGGGTGTGTAAAATTTTTGTGTCAGGACATTTGAAACGCCATTAATCAAAAAGAATATGTGTCGGCTTCAAACATCTTTTCAGTTCAAAACAGCCAATCATGACACCGATTATCCTAAATTGCTACATACGGCTTCATATCTCAACGAATTGAAGCTTGAAGTTTAGCATGTTGGTGAGTTTTTTGGTACGACTATTAAAAAAAATGGGGAGGAACTTTGTCTTCGGGTGTGTTTTAGTTTTCTTTGTTCCCACCATTGTAAATTGGGAGAGAAATTTTGTATTGTATTCGGATGTTTTCTTTTTTCTTTTCCACGCAAAATCAGGTTCCACAAATAATCATCTGTATGAGGCGAGTGATAAATCAAATAAGAGCCCTGTCAGTGATCCCAGTGTCGGGAAAAACCAAACCGGTTTGACCAGGGGTGGATCTAGGATTTTCTCGAGGGGGGCGGATTTTCAAAAAAAATCGACAAGTATGCCGACTTTTTTAAGGTAAACCAAATTGAATTTCTGAGCTCTCCCAAATCACTATAAAGACCCCACGTTGACCAAATTTTCTGCGCCGATAAATTTTAGATACAGTTAAGATAAATTTAAGATTTTTTTCGAAAAACTCTTTCATTTTGTTTGAAGAGAACTATAGTCGAACTATCGATTAAGCTTAATTCACTATATTTCACGCTTGTATAGCTTTTTTTATCACAGTACCCACAAAAATGACAATATACTCTAAAACATTTTTTAGTTCTTTTTTTTTGTAGACAAACTTTTTTGTTGTTCTTTTTATAAATGTGATAGGAAAATACAGCAACCAGCAACCCTTATTTCCAATTTCAATATTTATTTTGATACTCCATTTCCGGTTCTCCAGTTTACTTAGGTAAATATTAATACCATGCTAATATATCCTTCAATTTAGTTAATTATTGTTCCGAACATTAGAAAAATGGGAAGGAACTTTGTATTCCGGGGCGTTTTATTTTTTGCTTTTGTTTGTTTTCCACGCTAAATCAGCTACCCCAAATACTCATCGGAGAGAGTTGACTGATATATCATATTAAAACCATTTCAGTCGTGATTTGAACGACATTTGGAAATTTCAAAAAAAAATTCCCAGTGTCGAGAAAAACTGGTTTGAATTTTTGATTTTTCGTCTTAATTTGAGCGAATAAGTTAGCTTGAAATAGCTTATTTTAATGGCCTAAAAGCTTACAAAAGCTTAATTTAAGTAGTAAAAATTTAGTTTATCTCGAGGAAAGTTAGTTTTCTTGAGTATTTTAGCGTCTTTTTGGAATAAAAAACTTCAAAATTCAAAACTGCAAAAATTGAAAATGTTTCTTAATTTTTTGTTTTGTTTTTTTTTTAGTCATATTTCTACAATAAATGTTTTCAAATTTGCTTATTTTACTATGACCCTCGAATTTATTTTTGTTTTTCAAGAAGGGTTCAAGTTACATCACGAAAACTTTGAAATAGTACTTGAACTGACGCGACCTGATATATTTCACAAAAATTGAATAAAAAATTATAATTTGAATATAATGGATAAATCAGCCAAAGATTGAATGAAACAAAAATAAGCAGAGCATAGGAGCCAGCCGACATTTATATCATCTAAGTTAAAAACTGCAGCAAGTTTTTTTTACATATTTTGTTTTTTCATATTTTTTACATAATTAAAGATAGCTATAAGGAAACTGCTCAGAACTTTTGACTGCTTTGTGTGTAAGCTGGGTTATGTTTCCGCTGGTTTATACAGCACATTAAATAGAGACACAACATCTTTTTAAAACCTGCATGAAAAGTACAAAAAACTGCAGAAAACCGCATATATTTTGCTCGACGTCAAGTTCGTTTGAAAGAGTCTCGGCTCTTGTCTTTTAACGCAAGCAACCATCTATGATAGATAATGTCCTCAAAAAAGCTACCTATAAAATTTTTAAAATAATTCAATTTTTTTATTTAAGTCTATGCAGGTCCAACAAAAAATCAAAAAGAAGCAATTATTCATTAATTATTGTAGTAATATATGCTTGAAGACTGAAATTTTTCGGGGGATCAGTTAAACCTTAATTTTAATCAATCTTGTCATATACTTTGGGTTATGGGCTTTTTCAACTTTCCGCCCACATTTGAATTTCAGTTTTTAAAAACTTTACGATGTCATAATGTAATGAAAATTTGCATGGTGAATAAACTAACTATTGTGAAGACATTTGTTCTTCAACTCTTTCAATGTTGCAGCTTGCTTGCATTCAGCCATAATACGTGAAACATCTGAAAAAAATTTGAAATGTGGGGGGGGGAGAAAGGGGGGAGGATGTTAACTTGGTTCTAAGCTGGGAATTTTCAGCCAATCAGAATCAAGCATTTTACATGCAGCGCTCAGGAAAGTTAATGCGCAAAAAATGCTGGCGTGGAAGATCTTAACTTGGTCAATCTGGGGGGGATGTTAATTTGATCCGTGCCTGGTATTGCATTCTACAACCATTATGGAAAATAGCAAATATTCATCAGCAAAAAACGGAAAATTTGTGAAACCAGCAACAGTTAACACGAATCAAATTAAAATCAATGAATCTGATTTGCAAGTTAGAGTCATAGTTAAAAACTGATTGTAAATAAATTTCTGGAAATTGATTGCCCGAATTTTTATCTGCAGGGCGGTGTATCGACTAGCAAAAAGCTCTACTAGCATAAAATTTTAAACTTGAAAATCGTATCGACTAGCATAAAAATCGAAACACAAAATTGAAATACTGAATAATTACAAAATCATTAGGATCTTGTTAAATAACTCCCCCCTATTGGACCTTGTTCCCCCTATGCATCCCCCTATGCATGTTATTTATGACAACCATTTCTGTATGAACTATGCATTACAATTATAGGTCCGATCAGCAAAAAACGGAGGTCTCAAAATAGTAACAAAGGGAAAGGGTTGACCCTTTGTGTGGTTATGGGATCAAATCCCATAGGAGGGTCATATGGCGAGGCGTCCGCTCCCCCAGCCTTAATCTCTAAATCCGTTACTGGGCCGAAGTGTGGACGATAAAAAGGGAAGAATCGTTTTTACCATGTACATCAGTTTCTGTTGAACGTTTTTTCTGTACTTAGTTCGTTTCTACACGATAGATAGAACATTTTGGATGAAACTGTACTCAAACTCATGTTCGTGCAGTACAATATCAGGTACTACCATGATAGAGTGGTCCCTCGAAAAAGCAACTATGATTCTCAAGGGACCTGTTTATTTTCAAGGGACTACGCTATCATAGCAGCACCTCGAACTGCTCAAAAACCGTCGAAACCTTGCCCAAAATCCGTTCAAAAGCCTCAACAAGAAATGAGCGGCTTTTGAGCAGCATTTTTGTAGAAGTGTACTCATTTAAGGTGTAATAATGTATGTTGTTAACAAAGAAAACGTAAAAGAACAACTTTAATTTTTTTCGAATACCAGCGCCACTGGCTAAACGAACAGTTCACGCTCTCTGTCATACTGACCTTGGTACCATACGAAAACAAAATAATACATAATACGTAATAGGCATAAGTTACTTAATAAACCTCACTACACTCCCCGTTCATTAATTTGAAATGTTGGGTAATTAATTTACTGCTTCAATAACATATAAGTAGTTCTAGTCTTTTATTCAAAAAGTCTGTTAATAATATCCGATCATTTTCCCCCCAAAGAGGCACGTTTAGAGAAGTCAAGTTCGTTCAATTCCATAGACTCTCCTCTAAACTCGGGCGATGATCTGATCTTCCTTGGTCATACTTATCGCCGACAATTCGTCCGCGATATCCACATCGTCTGTCACCGTCGGCCTACTCGAATCCCCGCTCACATAAGCTAGATCTGCTACGCCTGGTTTGATTGGTGATGGCTCATCGCAGTCATGATCTACTTGCCCTTTGATTGGCGAACCACTATCCAATATCACCTTGGGATTCGCTTCTTTCGACGTTTTGTTCGGAAAGCAGTGATGACGATGATGGTGTTAACGCCAGTTGATTAGTCTCTAACTCTGACGACACAGTTGCCACTGGTGTTAGTTCTGATGTAACTGTTCCACCAGATCCTGATTCAGCGGTTTCGGGTAAAACTCCAAATTAATTTCGCCCTGCGCTCTGTGTTGGGCTATTATCACCCTCCGACATAACTCTTTTGAGCAGCTCTTGCCCCGCCTTTTCGATGGCTTGTCGAGTCCGCTGGATTTCGGCCTGACCCGCGTCAACTAGTTTACCCAACCCCGAGTTCTTTCGACTATTGCGAATACGCGCCTCAAGTCCTTGATAAAATGATTGCAGACTGGATTCATCGACTAGTTCAGCTGCGAATCAGTAACTAGCACTATTCATTTCGAATGCTTGTTGATCCTACGTAGCTTGTCTAGTAAATCAACGGAATGTAGCGAGACCGGTTTTTCCAAGTCGGTGATATCGTCATGAGCGTAATCCGCTCCCCAGTAAAAGCGACACATCTCTCGGTCAAAGTATGTGCCCTCGCGGCGTTCCTTTTCGTAGGATTAGGGATCTTCGGAAACATTACTTCTTTTTTCGGGTCTCCCCGGTCTCCACTATGGCTTGCTCGTTTATATGCCGGCCCTGGGCCGCCTTTTGGCAACTTAGTGCCCTCAACCTCCGAGCTGTCTGTTGTCCGAATGACGTTAATAGTGGTAGCATCCGCTGTTAGCACACTGGTCAAAAATCGCTCTCCTGGAAACTTTGGCGGATTGCGTTCCTGTGGCGGTCTGGTATTATGACGTACCATCAGTTTTGGCGTTCTAGCCAACGGACTGCTTGTTTCCTCCAGTTCCGTCGGATGTCTTCCTGGGGCGAGCTAAAAAACACTCCATCTTAAATGGTTCTGTTGTTGTAGTTAGCCCCTCTGATTCCTTGCGAGGACTTGTTACCCCGTCTTGGTCATCCATTCCTGAGGACTCATTAGCCGTTTGGCAGTTTTCGTCCACTTCCTCTACGCCAGAGAATGATTGGACTACTCTGCTCCGTCACTCTTGTTTTCATGTCGATTCTTATTCCGCTACTTTATTCGGAGCTATAGTTCGGGACTGTTTCGCCGGTCTTCGGGTGTACAACGACCTTCGGCTCTGCAGCGTAGATTACAGGATCCGGCTCAGAAGCAGATGTTTCTATTGGGCTTTCCATGGACAATAACCCGTCCGGAGAACTGTCGATAACAATCGGATTATCCACTGACCTTGCTGTTTCAGTTGTATTGTCCACATTTTTGGTCGTTGCTTTTAGCGAGTCGCTAGGACGGTCTCGTGGCTCCTTTAACGCCGCTGCCCTCCTCGGATAACTAGATACGTCTGCTTGCCGCCCATCTCAGACCGGTGGCACACTACTGTGTGGTCTTCGGGCGTTTGAGATTTCCCCTGGTCCGGGATTCTTCCACCTAAACTCATCGAAATATCAGACTTATGAATCACTTTTCTAGAATCCAACGTAACCGTATGATCTGTTTCCCGCAAAACTTTTTCTGTCTTAATTTCAAAATACGCTTCCGATGTTAATCGTTCTTGTTTTTTTTCGAAGGAGATGATAACCTTTTTTCTGAGCGATCAAAAATGGCGCTTTGTTCGGCGTGCCTTGGCTCGTTTTAGCGCTGTCCTCTCCTTGAGCCAATAACGGATGTTCTATCAGATCACATATTCCCATTATAGTCTCATCGTCGGGTTAAGTGTAATTCTGCAATACTTGGCCCAGAAACATCTTATTCTTGTCTAAAAATCATAACACATTTTCACAAGACAAGATATTTGAGGACGCAGTTTGAGTGACCGTATGCCAAACCGTAATTGGCTTCCAGCCAAAATGGGCTTCAAATGGCGAACATCCCATTGACTGTAAACATTATTTCGTAAAGTGCCGTTTTAAGAGCAAGTTTGATTTTTTGAAAGAGCATGCCATGAGGCGTTCCCGTACTGTTTGAATACACCGCTTTACAATCCCGGTTGCCCAGTGGTTCCTCACCGGTGCGAGTATCAACCTTTTATTTTTTTTGCACAGAAATCACCAATGGATTTCGAAATGAATCCCGATCTGTCTTGATTAGCCTCGGTATTGCGTGTAACGTAATACAATTCTGCAAAAATCCCTTAATTACCCCAGTCGTTGTTCTGGTAGTAACTTGGATTGAAGGAAACTCGGAAAATCTATCCACGCAAATGAGTATGTAATTACTTGCCCCCCCCCCCAAACGACGGCAACGGCCCCACAAAATCTAGCTGGACTTCTTGATTCGGTTCTTCTAACAGATCAAGTTTCGTAACGTCCCCCTCCGGAACGACCGATTTCAAATTCCTACCAGATTTGATGCAGTCTCGACAGTTCGCCGCCGTCAGTTGAATTTTACGGTTCACGTGGAGCCAACAAAAGTAATTATTTGCCACTTCCTTCAGTTTCCACATGCCCGAGTGACCTTTGTGGAGCCTCATCATGATTGGGGCCCATAAGTGAGGCGGCATCAACATCGTCTTCTAATATCCCGTTCAATGTGTGCAACTTGTCGAGATAATTGGTAAAGTAAGATCCGAAGTCTCGCATCTTGTTTAGTTTATTTGATTGTAACGCTTCAAGAATACAATCTAGTATTTCGTCTGCTTTAGTGACAATCGCAATGAACTCAGCATCGAAAAACTCCGGCCACTCAAACAATGCAACTGCAAACATTTCCGTTGAAATCAACCACTTTTCAGCTGACGGCTGTTGCGAGATAGTCCCATGGACATTACCAGTGGGTAATTCGTGGGTCTCCTGCACTTTTTCATTTGAATTATCAAGATTCATCTTCAATGGATTCAAAAAAGTACAATTATTGCATTTTTCTATGATTACGTAACCAGCGGCACAAAATTTGATGGAACGAGAGCTTCGAAACGCGTCAATTAGTTTCTTCGCTGCAACTTCTTTTCGATGACGTAATTCTTGTTCCGTTTCTGTACTATTACATCATGATTTCGATCATTCTCAACGGTGTTTGTTTTAGCCGCTGATTTAAGTAGCCTAGTAATTGCGTTAATTTGTGCTAGTACGAATGTGTTGTTAAGCTCATTAAAACTATAATTTTACTCCGCATCGTTTAGAAACCTGGATTCATACCAAATCAGTTTCCGATCATCTGCATGTAATTGCTCTAAGTCAGCCGCCAGGCTCTGTTTCGAGGCGTCACTTTAAACTAGTCAATTTTTGAACATCAAAGAGTTTATTTTGGTTAAAATCACTCACAATCTCTTTCATCTTCAAAAATGCCTCTTCATGGGCGACTCCCCATTCAAAACGGAAACGTTTTTTCATTAAATTTCTGAACGGTTACTGGTGCTGCAAGATTGCGTTTCAATATTATGAATTGGTTAATGGAACCAATCAGCGACCTGAAATCCGTGATATTTTCCGGTTGTTTCATTTTCTTGATAGACTCAACTTTTCCTTCTACCAGTACGGTGCCTTTATTGGACAAACAAAATCCCAACCACTCTATTTCTTTAACGAAGAAAGTACATTTACTCCACTTAACCGCCGCATTATTTGCATTCAGTACTTCTTAGGCCCCCGCACTTCAATCCAGTATCAATGAGTATATTATCTAAATATACGTGCACCTCTGGTAGGTGGCCCAACAGCGAATCCATAACCCTTTGGAATTCCTTGGGCATATCCCCCAATCTATAAAATCCCGTTTTGAACCGGTTTTTCCTGTTATATTGCCGCCAACAATACTCAATTTACAATGCCGGCTGGTAGTTTCGCTCAGTTTCATCTGAGAATACGCGTACTTCAGATCGATGTTTGAGTACCACATGGGATCATTGGTGTTTCCACTGATAGCCATTGCTATGTTATCACCATTTCAATCATATTTAGCATTTGGTAGCGGCTTCGGTAAATTTGGAGCGGAAAAATGTGGCCCTTTTTTTTGCAAATTGCCGATTGTTCCCTCAACTTGGTACCCGTTTCCCCTTTTTCTGTATCGGGCGTAGCGGTTCATGAAAATGCGTTCTCACTTGGCAATTTTTTACTACTCCTTTCCGTTCAAATAATTCCTTGAACTATTGCAAAATATACTTAAAGGACCTACGTTGGGTTGGAGAGATTTGTATTCCTGAGCAGTCACTCCTCCCCCCCCCCCCCCCCCCACCCGAAAATCATTGATCAAAGAAGCCATCGGTTTCGGTCGAACTTCGATTCACAAATGCAGCAGAACATGTCCTGTTGACCGCCTTCGCTAAAAAACAGCTCCGCGCTTCCTGCCAACCATCCTTCGGACCTAATATCGATAACGATTCTTCCGATTATCTGATCGTATTATCCGTGGAACTGTAGAAAACAGTTTTCAAATGGCCTGTTACCGAACGAATTTCTACAAATCTGTCCTGAAATTTGAGCTCGTCTAATTTCACTCGTGAAAGAAAGGACTCCAGGCTGGCACAATCTATCTGAAATTCCGTATGCCAACAGTTTTTCCCCATTTGAACGCCACACAATTTTCTATTCTTGTTACCAGTTTTGTCCCGTACCGTTCTAATCGCAAACACGCCAAACTCCTCATCATCCTTCTTTTCATCCCATTTTTGAATTACATTCTTTTCGTACTGAGCTAAATCAAATTCGTCGATTTAGTTTACCAGAAGTTTTAAAATGCTTTGCAAATTGTCCGCGCCCACTGCAATTGTTACAATTAAAAAATTTTGCAGGACAGTTTTCCCGATGGTTTGGTTTTAGCCAAATATCACAATTATGACACTTGTCTTTGGCCCTTAACCTTGTTCACCGATTCTCTATGTATGTACCCTGACTGTTGCCCTCCGCTGTTATTCGTTCGTCCGGGAATAAACTTACTTTTCCCGAACTTCAGTAGGCCCCCGCTTACTCTCTTATACATCCTTTCTCCTGTCCCCCTCACACACCACTGCAAATTGTAATGCATCTGCTGGCATGAACGTTTCCTTACAAAATTGTTTACGAAATTCTTCATTTCGCATGTTGAAAATAAACATGTCCCGAATTATAGACTCCTCTTTCGGGCCAAAGTCATATGCTCGGAAGAGATCACTTAATATCCCAAAAAACTGCTCCATCCCTTCGTTTTTTGATTGTTTTCTTCCGAAAAGGATAAATCTACGGTTCGTAACATTTGGTTCTTTCAAAAAAACATCTACTGCCAATTTCCACAGCTCGGTGATGGTTTATTTGCTAAGAGAAAAATTTTGGTAAAAATATCTTTGTTTCTGTTTCCTAGTGATAGAAAAAACTTTGACTTCAACCTTTTATCCGCTTCTCCTCTGATACTTCCCTTGAACAGCTTCTTCTCATCGTCCAACCGACAGGTTTCTTCTTCCCTCCACGACCGCCCTGCCGTTTCATTAAGAGCTTCTCTCTCTATTCTCACTTGAGCTTCTTTCGTCTCAATATGCTCTTCCAAGGTCGAGTACACGTTCTCCGATAATGTACTTTAAGCAAACAGATAGTGAATATCTATATCTTCGTTGGCCCTTACGACCAGGAGTATATTGTGCACCCAACCTTTCCAGGGTACCGGCGGCTCCTCAGTTGGTCCGTTCCAAAAAACATTTAGCCTACAGTAGTTGAATTTCGTTTGTGATTGCGCCATGTAGAAGTGAACTCATTAGAGGTGTAATAATATATATCAAATAATATATATCTTTGTTATCAAAGAAAACGTAGAAGAACAACCAGCATCCAGTTTCAAGCGTTACAAATCGATTAAAATATGATTTTAGAACCAGTCTTACAGTAAATGAGAAAAAAACCGATTTTAATTAATTAATAATCGATTATAATCTCTTTTTTGAACTCAAATATAATCAATTATTATACATTATAATCAATTAATTTTACCCGAATTTGTAATTCATTTGTTTTGCAGGAAAAAAAAACATTATAATTGATTGTAAGTGTTAATAATCCATTTCGTTTGCTCATTTTGTCCCCGAATTTCCACCTGAATTGCTTATATTTTATGCTTTTCTTTTTGAAGACGTTAATTTATGTGAAAAAAGGGGAAAATTGTTTTAACAGTTTTCGAATCAACTAAAATTTTAAGGTTTTTTGATTATTATTGCTTCAAGATGCACATTTTAAGCTTTTTTTGATCACCAACAAATCAGCACACTGCTTTAGTTTCATGATTTATATACAAGAGTTGTAATCCACTTACAGCGGTATTCTTTCAACTAATATGAAGGGATCTCTATGAAGCTTTTGTTTCTTGGTAAAACTTTGTGTTCAGATGAACCAAAGAGTGACAAGACATCTCCTTTTTAGAGATTTTTGACAGAACATAAGATTATAATCTAGTATAATAGATTATAAGAATTTATAAGAGAGTATAAGATATTGATATTATAAGAGATTATAAGAGATTTTCGGAAACATTAAAATCAATTGTAATAGATTATAGTTCATGATAATGACACGAAAAATGTTATCATTATAATGGATTATAAATCGTTTAAACATCTAAATTTGGCGCTTATAATTAATTGTAATTTTGATAAAAAATACAATTATAATTGTAATATAATCGATTATTTTCTCTTTTTACTGAGTGCGGGAACTTTAATTCTTTTCGGTCACCAGCGCCACTGGCTAAACGCATAGTTTACGATCTCTATCATGTTGACCTTGGTACCATACGATAGCAATATAATATATAATAAGTAATAAGCTTAAGTTACATAATACACGTCACTACAATTTTCAAACAAGCTTTTAGCGGATGTTTGAGAGGTTCTGCAAAAACCGCTCATATCTCTCAAACCGTTCAAAACTTGCTGGAAAAGTGTTAAAAGCGTACAAATCTTGAGCCCTTTTGAGAGCGGCTCGACTTGGGTTTACTATTCCCCCCTTTTTCAAAACAAGGGGGGATTCCGATATTAGGTATACAAATTCGAATATGCTTAAGCGTTCAGGATTCAAGATGGATAGTTAATGAGATCCAAAACCGGCAGAAACCTCCGGTCCACGCCCGGCTGGGAGAATAAACAACTGTTAGACTGTATTGATATGAAGGGATCTTGTTAACTATTTTCCCTCTTTTTAACCTTCTTAACTATCCCCCCATGCATGTAATATTTTTGACAACACCATTTCTGTATAAAATATGCATTGCAAAAATGGGTCTAGGACAACAAGCCGACGGGACTTCAAGCCGAAGGGACTTGAAGCCGAAATTAAAACTTTACAAGCACCCCAAAACGCTATTTTATCATCTGCAAAATCTTGCTTTTCTAAAATTTTGGCAAGTTTAGTCTATAAAAAGCTTTATTCATGACAGTGCACCACTTGTGATTCGCATCCGTTAATAACATCAGCCGGTTTTTGAAATGCATAAATTATAAACATGAAAAATGCCTTCAACCATGTTTTACTTTTCAACTTTCCGGAACATCATTTGGAAGCTTAAATTATATGCACACGCCAATAACTAGTGAAGAAAGATCATGAAATTCAGAAATTCTTCAAAAAAATTTTCAAATTGTTCATCAAATTGTTCATATTTCACAACTTTATAAGGAATTATTCGGCTTGAAGTCCCTAATTTTACAATTCGGCATGAAGTCCCGTCGGCTTGATGTCCGGCACCCTGCAAAAATGTCAAAAATTAATTATTGGTTTTTCATTTTCGCGCGTTCGTATTTGTATTACTCACTGTTTATATGATACCTAAAAAATTTCTGAAAATCGAAATAGGGGGAAATAGTTAACAAGATTCAAATAAAGTTTAATCTGCGAACGGCTCAAATCGTTCAGCTTAAACTTCAATTCAACACAGAAGAAAATTTGACTTTAATCGCGGCCGGGGGTGCCATGGAATTTTTTGCCTGTTTTGGATGTCATTAACTATCCATCTTGCACGCTTTAGCAAAATCAAATTTGTATGCAATAAAAAATTGCGGATGGAAGCGATATATAATTAAAGACAAATAGCTCACCATCACTAAACACGGCATAACAACGTAACTGCAGTAACGCAAAATAAACGCGTATTCTTTTCTTTTGCAAAACGTGAAATATGTGTACGTAAGTTTTGTCTGGACAATTTAAAACACTTCATTACATACAGTTTAAGGTGACTGACAGGCGAGTCTAGTACGAACAGTACGACACGTGAAGAAATGTGAACAAATATCACGTAATACTGTCGTATGATATAACATGCTCAATATTTCCTCAACGAACCTATTTGCCTGAAAATGTGAAAGGAAATATAAAGTGGAATTTTCTGTGCTCCGCGCCTTTCTTTGCATAAGTATTTGGAATGGGAAAACAAAAGGAAAAGAAAGCAGAATGAAAAAACGCAACACCAAGGAGAATGCGTCTACGGCAAAAAGCCGACAGGACTCAAAGCCTATTTTTTAAACCGCTTGGAAAAACCTCAAATTATGGGGACCAGCCTTTTAGCATGTGTGACGGTACCGATTGTCATGCCCGATATGTAATGTAATTTGAAAATTTGCAATTTCACGCTTTGTTTGCTCAAATTTGCATATTTTGATCCGCGCGCCCTCAGCCAAATTTTTGCTCCGATGATTTTCAAAGAAAATGACAAACTTATGCTCGGGGTGTTTTTTTTGCTCCAGACAAATCTCGACTTTTTAACTAGCAATTTTTGACGGAATTATTTCATGTCGCTCAAAAGGGGGCAGTACAACCAGTGAGTGCCGAAGTACAACAGTGCCGAAAAAATTCGTTCAACAGTGCCGAAAATGAAAACCTTGTTCAACAGTGCCAAAAATTTGAACAATTTTTAATATATTAAGAGCTGCAATCAAAAATTAAACGGCGCTCGATTACAATCTTAGTGACACTAATATTTTGAGCGAGAAAATTTGCAACTTGGTAACAAAGTAATTGTTTAATTTGAAGTTGTAGACATTTTGGCGCCAAAATTGGAGTGATTTTCGGGGATCGGCCTATTAGCATGTGTACCGATTAGCATGCCCATGTAGAAGGGGTGCTGGACATCAAGCCGACGGGACTTCAAGCCGAATCGTAAAATTAGGGACTTCAGGCCGAAAATTTTCTCATAATATGAAATAGGATTAATTTTAAAAAATTTTTAAAGAATTTCCTACTGTTATGATCTTTTTTTCAGTAATCATTGGCTTTGTCAAAAAATTTCAGCCTCCAAATGATGTTTAAGAAAGTTGAAACATAAAACACGGTTGAATGCAATTTTCTTGTTTATAAGTTATGCATTTCAAAAACTGTCTGAAATTATTAACGAATGCCAATCCTTAGTGATTCATTGTCATGAATAACGCTTATTATCGATTAAACTTGCCTCAATTTTCGAAAAACAACGTTTTTCAGATAAAAAAATTGTAATTTGAGGTGCTTGTAAAGTTTAAATTCGGCTTGAAGTCCCGTCGGCTCGTTGTCCTAGACCCATGTAGAAGAATGCAGTTTGAAAATTCTCAATTTCACATTTGTTTACTCAAATTTGCAATTTTTTATCAGAGTGCAATTAGCCGAATTTTTAATTAGGCAAAGTTATAAGTTTAATTCCTTAACAAATCAAGTGGTTTGCGATACTATTTGAAAATATAGGCTGATTTGTTTTTCATCTGAATGCACACCCAATCAAAACAGTTATCGCATGCTAATATGCACACATGCTAATAGCTACACCCCCGAGATTTCCTTTGTAATTAGCGTCAGTATTTTCCCGCGCTTTAGAAAACGCGGTTACATTATTCTGCAATTTTCTCGCCATTTTCGGCACTGTTGTACTTCGGCACTGTTGAACGCCCCCTTCGAAAGATATTGTTGACCTGAGCTCAAAATTGAACAAGACTGCTCGTATCAGGGCTAAGCCCTGAATGTTGCGTTTGCCTTTTAAGGTTTATGGAGCAGTATAGAATTTAAAAAAATTAAATGAAATACAACAAAATGAAAATTGCAAATAAGCTTCGTACAACCAATTTGGAATGATTTCTAAGACGGATTAACTCTCAGCTTACGCATTAATAGTGCGACATATATCGCGAGTTAATTGTCCCAAATGGGCCAAAATGGCAACCTTTAAACCCCCGTAACTTTACGAAAAATGATCACACGTAAAATATCTTTTCAAATTTGAGCTCAGGTCAACAATACCTTTCGAATGATATTTAAAAAATCCGTCAAAAATTGCTAGTTAAAAAATCGAAATTTGTCTGAAGAAAAAACCCACCCCGAGCATAAATATTCCGTTACTTTCGTATCGAAAGTCGGAACAAAAAGTATTTCATCTGTGATCATTTTTTGCGAAGTTATGGGAGTTTAAAGATTGTCAATCTGGCCAATTTGGGACAATTAACGCGTGATATACTTCGCGCTATTATCGCGTAAGCTGAAATCAACCCCTGTTAGAAATTTTCAAAATTGATTTGAAGCACTCTCGTTGGTCTATTTAATTTTTTGCTTTACGCGAACAAGACTGTTCGTGTCAGGGCAAAGCCCTGATTGTTCCGTCTATCCATAAACTGGTCTCAAATAGTTCTTGGTGAATGAAATATTGACAAAATATGAGCTTTGAGCTGAATATTAAGAATCATGTATGTAAAATAATAAGACCAATTAGCCTGCCTCAATTGAATTTGGAACGATTTTGCAGCGCGGGATAACTCGCCACGCGTAAATAATGCGCGTTAAACTTCAAGTATTCAAGTATCACAGGGCTCTTATAGTCACGTTAGTCTATTTATGAGCATTTCACAGCAGTCTTTAAGTCCGAAAAGTCTAGTGATGAGCGCGACCCTGCTGGTTTCACAAAGGTCTATGGATCGCTGCCTCGAGGAAACTATGAAACTATTTTTGAGAGTTGTTCTGAATAAAAAAAATCGCCCGAGTAAAATTCTTCCTTAGTTTCAGCAAAAATCGAAACAAACCAGACTGTTCGTATCAAAGTAAAGCTCTGATTAAAAATATTGATATCTTCGGTTCAAAAATAAACTATGCTTTACTTGTAATCATTTAAAAAAAACTAGCAAGCCCGCCTCCAATAATCAATTGGCTCGCAGAAATTTAGTCGTTCTTCTGATCTAGCTATCAAAGCAATGAAGTTTTGATCCATTTCAATTTGAGTCATATCGTAAATCGGGTTGAAAATTGTAGGGTTCCTAGACCATCGGTACCCGAAAAATTGAAATTTTCTAAGCAAACTATTCAAGCTCTGAAAGTTTGAAATACTTCAAAATGTTTCCTGAAGAAAATCGGACGGCGAAACTTTTTTTACGGAAGCTTTTCAGGTTTTTTTACGGAATCTTTTCAAGCAATAAAATATTAAATTTTTTCAATTTGTTTCATAGATAGAGTCAAATTGCAAAAAAATGAAGTTTTTCCAGGCAAGTTATTAAAGCAAGGAAACTGTGAAAAATTTCACGTTGTTTTATAGAGCGAATCATTTGGTGAACAGTTAAAGTTTTTCTTTGTAAGCTGTTCAAGCGATGAAACTTTGAAATATTTCAGGTTACTTCTACTTCATAGAACAAATCGGTTCACAAAAAAAGTTTTGTTTTTCTTAAGCAAGCTATTCAGCTCTACAGCGAATCGGATAGCGAAAAAAATTTAATTAATTTTGAAGCAATTCAACCAATGAAACTTTGGTTTTTTGATAATAGTTCATAAACTCAGTCGGGTAGCACAAATTTCTAGTTTTCTATTGGAGCCAATCACCCCATAAAGTTTTTAAATAATTCAAGATATTTGATAGATCAAGTGATTAGCAAAAAAACTTTTGGTATGCAAGTTTTGAAACGCTTCAACTCATTTCTCAGACAATTTGGTTCACAAAAAGCTTATGTTCTCCTTGAAGCTAGTTCTCCTATTCAAGCTATAAAACATTCAAAGCTATTTCATCGACCGAATCCGTTTTCAAAAAATTTACTATTACTGAGCAAGCTATGCCAAGTTTCAAGGAGCTATGCCAAATTTCAAGCAAGCTATTAGAGCTATGAACATGTGAGTTATTTCAAATTGTTTTATGGACAAACCGCTTCGCAAAAAGCTCAAGTTTTTCTAAGTTTTTATGCAGAGAATCGGATAGCAAAAAGCTAATGTTTTTCCCTTTTGAGTCACTCAACCGTTGAAATTTTGAAAAAGTTCAAGTTATTTGTAGAACAAATCAGTTTTTCAAAAATAAATGTTTTTCTGAGGAAGATATTTAAGCTATGAAATATTTCAAGTTATTTCATGGACTGAATCAGCCCGCAAAAAACTTATTGTTTTAAGCAAACTTTTACAGCAAGAAACTTTGAAATATTTTTTCAAGTTATTTCAGAAACCGAATCTATTTTTGAACAGATTAAAATTGTCTAGGCAAGCTATTCAAGATATGAAACTTTAAATTTTTTCAAGTTATTCCGTAGACCAAATCGGTTTGCAAAAAAAATTTAAATTTATCTAAGGAAGCTATTAGAGCTATACAACTTTGAAATGTTTCAACTTATTTCATAAACAGAATCAGTTCGCAAAAAACTTTAGGGTTTTCAAAACAAGCTATTCAAGCTATGCGACTAAAATATTTCAATTTAACTCATAGACTGAATTGGTTTGCGAAAAGTTGAAGTTTTCTAAGCAAGCTTTTAAAATTAAAAAGTTTCAAATTATTTCCAGTTATTTCAAAGAACAATTTTTTTGAAAAAATCTTAGGTTTATCTAAGCGAGATGTTAAAGCTGTGAAAAATTTAGGATATTTCAAAGGTCAAATCACTTTGCAAAAAACTTGCTTGAGATTTTCGCAAAACGATACTGTCTATAGCTTGAAGTTTCTCAAAGTTTTTCTGAGCACGCTATTCAAGTGACGAAACTTTAAACTATGTCAATTTCATTTTCCTAGAGAAAATCGACTGGCGAGAAGTTTAAGTTTTCTAAGCAAGCTTTTAAGGCAGTGAAACTTTGAATTATCTCAAGTGTTCACAGAGCAATTTCATAGTGAAAATCATCTGGCGAGAATTTTCAGTTTTTCCAAGCAAGCTTTTAAGGCAATGAAACTTTGAATTATCTCAAGTGCTCACAGAGCAAATCGATTGGCGAAATGTATAAAACTTTCTAAGAAAGCTATTCAAGCGATGAAACTTTGAAATATGAAACTTTGAAAACAGTTCACAACGCAAATCGGTTTGCAAACAGCTAGTTTTTCTAGCAAGGATAGTGCTGCTTTTAATTGGTTTGTTTCAGAAT